ATCAGAAAGCTCCCTACATATAAGTAGAATAAAACTGAATTATTGAGTGAATCTGTTAAAGTTAGCTGTGAGAGCAAGCTTTGTTCAGTTGTTGGAAGGTCACACTAGTTCATCTAGAGGTACAGCTCCCCCTAGTTCTGAATCTGAAGAATGTTCTAGTGATTTTTGTTGCTTTTAAGTAACTACTTGGGTTCAGAAAACTATTTCCCTCCACATCATAAGTGCTATTTCTTCAGAGGTAGTTTTCAAATTAGTTCTCAACATCCTTATCACCACCAAAAGGCAAGTTGAAAAAAAATCACCCTTTTTGTGGATAGTCTTCCTCTGATTTCGGATATCAAAGCTAGGAATGAGGCTGAATGGTGACGTAGGTAAGATTACAGTTTTGTTCCTGTATTCATGTCAAAGCTGTTCCAAACATAGAATAAAAGAACAATACACAGGCCTTGCCCTGTCATCTCATCCTATTCAGGTACTTCTTTGAAGGGACTATTCAATTGCTCCCTTGGAACCTCCTTTCAAGTATTGGTGATATTTCACATAGTGTGAACTATTTCTCTTTAAGAGTCTGGTTCTGCAAAGCCTTATATAATTGCTTAACTTTGAACAAGTCAGAAGGCATAAAAACAAGCACGTTTGTTCTGTAGGATCTGAATTTAGGAGCTTGAAAATTGAGGTACCCCTCCCAGACCTCTTAAAGTTTACATTAAAACGTTACCATACAAACTGACCCAACGCAGGCTCTATGGTATTGACACATTTCTATGACATCACATGTCCTGTTTGAACAGGATCTTTTTGTAGACTAAGTAAAAAGTATATGTACAGCATACTAATGTACTGATGAAAGTGCTCAGGCCTCTGGGTAGCTAAACTCAGAACCTCTAATTAAAAAAAACAGTAACGCTCAGATGAGATTTTATTGTATCTTTGGAAAGACACAACACATTGGTGCCTCAAACTCAGCTAACAGTGCTTTAGCTAATGTTAGTTACTCCTCCATTTTCATTCCTACCTGAAGCATGCCTTAATTGCAATAAAGATACATACACATTCAGAATGCGGGATGCATTCTGGAACTTGAATTTACTAACATACACTTAAACTGCAAACTTCTCTTTAAAATAAGGCTTTAACCAACAAAACTTGAGTCTTAGAATGTTTGGGTCCCAATTGAATACCACTGTCATCAAACGTATCTTTGCTTAAACCAACAATGTAATTCCAGAAACAACTACTGCTAATGACAGTCCTTTTGCAACAGGTCTCAGTATAAACACATCAGTGCAAGTAAATAAACAGCATTTTACATCACTGCTATCTCAGTACCAACCCCAGGAAAAAGAAGAAAGTACAGTTCTGCTACATGAGGTATGAAAGACTGGGATCCAACTCCTTTGCTTAAATTACCTCTGAAGTTGTATGGTTTTTCTCCATTTTAGTAATATACTTAATTGGCCTGAACAGTCATCTTAAGTTCCTGTGCATTTTGTGTAAATATTACTATATAATAGAAAATATGTTGGACAAAAGTTGTAATACAAGGAACTCAAAAGAAAATACTCATCTTTTTGTAAGTATTGTACTGATTGGAATCTTTAGAAAGTACCTGAACAAGTATTTCCCTGTATTTTTACCTTTAATTATCAATTATAGGAGGAAAAGGCATCAGAAGATAAGAATCAAAAAGCTAAAGCAAGCAAAGCATACACTGATGCCAAATGTGAAACAGAAAAGCAGTCATCCAAGAAAATACCAAAGCCAGAAAATTTTGGTCGAACTCATGGAGGTATGTTTTAATATCTAAGAAATGCATCTGATCTTTTCAAAAGTTGAATGAACTGATGATAATGGTAATTTACCTGAGCTGGCATATGACTGACAGTAACTACAAGTCACTGAAAGCAAGTTGCTGGAGGTGCTACACTGACAGCAGATCAGCTCCACAGCTTAAGGCATCTTCATACTGCTGGACTTCTAAAAGCAGCTCATGGTTGTGTTGGTAAAATTTCTGAGCTTAATCTGTAAAAGTATACTTAATGGTCGCTTTGTTAAATCCACGCTGATCAAATACTGATCCCAAACTGTTGGTTGTGAATCTGCATCATAGTAGATGTCAACAGATTTTTCTGGCTTGGGATCTATTGCTAAGAAAGGAAAAGGAGTTCTTCAAGGGCTGAGAGTATCTCCTCATTACCGTGACCACTGTAAACAGATTTTATGCAAATCTTAACAATTGATTGTGATCTCACAAAGGCTGTATGCAAGGAACTCATCTATAAACAACTTAATTATGAAGAGGTTTTGTATAACAGGTGAAAGAGCAAGCAAATGTATCCTTTTAGCTGAATATTTTAGAAAAAAAAAACCTCATTTTCTTTAAATTGAGGCAGGTAGATAAAACTGAGATCTGAAATGCTGTCAAGCTAGATACTTCACAAATGGTAGGAGACATGATGTGAGCTGAATTTCACACATTTACAAAGGTGTGACAGGTTGCTGAGGTCACCTACTGGATCAGTAACAGAGCTAGTGATAGGAAATGTTTTAACTCCTGCAGTTTATACTCCATCTTTTCAGCTTGAAACCTTTCCAGAGCCCATTCGTGAACCAATTCAGTCCTGTGTTGAAAAACTGCAGTATTCTGCTCCATGCAACAAGCATGTTGCCAGTTAAAGGGGAAAAAAAATCATTCCTATATTTAAGCTCGATGTAATAGCAATAGAATGACAATTAGGATTTCACAACTCATGTGATTTCCCTGATACTTTACATGCAACTTCTCTAGCACTATGTTTAGCCTCTAAAATACTTAATACAGATTATGCTTGTATGCTAATTAATTGAAGCAAGTATGTCAATGACATAATGATCTTAACAAAACCTTGCCCCATCCTGTTATTAGTAAATAGCACTGTCCTAACCATCAGTAGCAACTTAAGAAATAATGCAGTAAAATTTGCTCTCATTAATGCTGCATGACTGTTTGTGATCCTATATAATTTAAGAACATTCCTAAATCCCTTAATTTCATTTTAGAATATTTAAAGGAAAACAAACCGCAGACAGCACACACTTGTCTGGAATTTATAAAACAAGAAAGAAAGAGAGACTTGCTTAAACAGAAGTCAAAGAAAGCTGAAGAAACTCTGCTAAATGACAGTGTAAAAGAGAACAGTCAAGAGGAAGATGCAGTGGAAGAGAAAGAAAAGAAGTCAGAAGAACAACTAAGAAGTGGGAAGGCAGGGAGTAATTTTTTAACTCCAAGAAACAAAATGCTCTCTAAGCTGAAAAAACAATACGTATTCTCAGAAACCACTGAAAATTTGTATCATGGGCTTCCTACATCAGGTACAAAATCCACAAAATGCAGTCTTTGTAACAACAGACACGCAGGTCAGCACCACTGCAAAGAAGAAGAATCAAAAGTGAAGAAACTGTCTGGGCTACACGAACCACCCTTCAGTAAAGTTACCAACATAAGGCAGAAAGACAGTTTGACTGAAGCAGAAGGCTGTGCTCATACAATATTCAGTGAAAGGAAGAAGAGTCTTATGAAAGAACTCTTTGGACAAGGCAATGTTTGCAAAGACAGCCATTCATGTTCTAACACGAGAGGAATGGAGAGAAAGCTGTGAGGGGATGCATGATTACACAAGCGAAATGTTAACCCTCCAATGATTTATAGCGTCTATCATCAATGAGTCATTATGAATAACCTTACAAGAATACACAAAATTGGTATCTATGAAGTATATTCAGCTTACCTTTCCATTTCAATTACACACTGTTTTTAGCTTCATAAAATGTATATAAAATCTTAGAATTTTTGAGAATTTCTGTCAATGACTTTCAAAATGAGAGGCAGATCAGCTGTCACAGCACAACATTTTTATTATTGATGCGCATGTATGCATTTTAGGGTGCCTCAACAATTTTGTCATTTTACCTGTTATAGTGAGGTATCCAAGTTAGTCCTTTTTGGTTAATTTTTTGCATTCTCTCTGCAGTTTGAATCTTAAGTTATTTGTTAACTAGCTGCAGTGAGCAGTCTGCTTTCAAAAGATTCTTCACTGAATTGCTACCTAAAATGTACTGAAAGAAAATAATTTTCTTTTCACTCCTGACATAGCTTCCAGAATTCACACAATAATTTGCTATTACATTGTTTTCATTAGCATTATAAAGCTCTAAAGCTCCATTCTTTTCCGCTGTTAAAACTTACCAAAGCAGTTTGCCTGGTAACTACCACAGCTGACATCCAGAATTGAATGTGCAAGACTAAAGCATTGTTCTGGACAAGTCAGGCATATCTAGTTCTCAAAAAGCCTTTAAAAATCTTGCATTTAAGGTTATGTAAGTAAGGGTAGGAAGATTATGTCTTGTTTCTGGTGGAAATTCATGAAAGGCTGCTAGAATGTAAGCTAGGAAAAAGGTATTCTACTAAATTTTAAAAAGCAGTAGCAAAAAAAAACAAAAAAAACCAAAAAAAACCCACAACACCTATACTATGAAAACTTCTAAAGGCAATTAAGATATCTTGAACCTACTTGTAAGCATACTTATCTTCAAGTTAAGTTCTTTAAGTAGTACTTGAGCTGTGAAGCAGACAGATTTTTCAAGAATGATTTAATGCAGTCAAAAGAGTACTTCTCCTCTACGTACTATTAATACTTCTACAATCCCTTTCCTGCTGTCTCAAAGTTAAGAGCAAACAAGCAGACATAATCCAGCATCCCTGGTTGTACTAAATCACCAAAAGCCTCTCTGCCCCTATTCGTTTAGATGTCTGACCAGAGCTGCCAACAAACTGTATTTCATTATCTCATACTAACTGTGGATAAATAGCAAATGCCTTTGTCAATATTCTAAATGATACTGCTTTTCTTGACTTCACTGTGTTAAACTCTGTAACAAGCTAAGTGGCAACATCATAGCTTTTATCATTATAGTCAGAAATACATCAACTGCATAGTTAAAAAGTCTGTAGACTCCAACACTATGAAGAACACAGGTGGGTTTTATTTTGTTTAGGAAAACTGTAATTAACATTAAAAATGTGGATTAGAAAACCTGAGGTGGACTGAAAAACTTTATTTCACAAATAAAAACACAAATACATGTAACAGATTCAATCTTGACTTTTTTTCTTGTCGATATTTAATGCCTTCACTTTACTGTTGGCTAAATGCAATCCCTAATATAAAAACAAATTAGTTTTTAAATAACATTTAAGAAAAAAAAAAAAAAACATTTAATGAATACATACACTCAGACATGCAGAAAATGTGTCATCATTCTTTGAATTAATTCTAAAGGCAGTTCTAAATATATGGATGCACTCCAGCCACTTCCTGCAGCCAGGCAAAGGACCTGAAATAATACAACACTGTATGGACCACGAGCTGAGCCAAAATCTGCAAAAGCTTTGTTCAACCTTATGTCCAAGGAGGTATTATAGAGCTTCTTAAAGCCACTGCTTTGCCTGCTGGAACAGACTGGGTTGCAGATAGCACAGAAGTTAACACAGCTTTTCTGTTGTGTAACTGCAGTACTGGGAAGAATTACTATCATTAATGTATGCTGAAGCTCTAGGGATGTAGTTTTCTGCAGAATCAACTGTTTTCTACTTTTCCTAACATGGAGCTTGGAAAGGTTGGTGGACCCTTTTTCCGAAAGCATGGTAAGAAATACTGTTAGCAATATTTGCTCCATTTGGGAAGTAGAAAATGAGGCAAGGAAGGAAAGGTCAGTTATCAGTAAAAGTAGTGGGGAAAGAAATTAAAAAAAAAAACAAAAAACAAAAAACAAAAAACACCCAGTGTTCAATAATTCCACAAGGAATTTTAAAAATTTTTATTCCATGAGGAATTTAAAAGAAGTGTTGAAGTGACCGGCTGACCTGCATTTGGCAATTGAGAAATTAATCTAAAATATAAGAAGTTGATTCTGCATATATATCACTAATATTTTCCAAGATAGTCTGAGAATAACCCAATCTACAGATAAAAAAAAAAAAAAAAGGAAATTAATTCTGTTTTATTCTAAAACAACCATACTACCTATTTTGATTAAATACCACTTGTCACCAAATGGAATCATATCTTTGGGTGAAAATGCTGTACTATACAGTAAAGAAAGAACAAAAGAGCAAAGCTCCAAAAAATACTAATGCCAGTGCATTTCCAACTTAACAGATGGAAAAAAGAGAATGCTAAGACCTTTGTGAATACATTATGACAAAGCCTTAAGGTTCTGCCACCAATCAATGTTTATCTGCATCAAAATGAGGTTTTATAAATATCAATGCTGCTCTTTGAAAGCTGCTGATCATAAAACCAAAAAACAAACGAAAGAAAGTAAAACCAATACTGCCCAACATCCAACTAAAGTAACAAGAAGTGTCTCCAATCTGGTCCATCATAACAGACAAATGTTTTTTTTGTACTGTGGTAAAGTAATTTAGACTCCATATACTACAGGGATTTCTTCAGCTGAAAGGGTGAAGCATGATAGCTACAACTTTATTACAAACCACAAGCCAACATGTAATTCCAACACCACCTGAAAGAGATACAAAATTTGACTGAAGTTATTGCATCCTTAGCACACAGCAGATTAAACAACTTGGAAACAAAAAAATGAAACAGTTAGGAGGTTGATGGGAACAAAATATCTTTCTGTCTAGATGCAAATAATTTTCTTCAAGGGATGCCAGTTAACTGCATGCTAGTTTAGAGAAAACCGAAGGCTGTCTGGGGAAAGAGCAGCAAATAAAAATATGAGCCAAAAATACGACCCATGATTTCTAAAAATATTCACTATGTCCCTATCCAAGAGGCCTAGGTTGCTGAAATTAAAGGTGTGGTAAATAAAAGAGTACTTTGGAATCTAAAATAAGAGACTAGGAAAAGGAAAGAAGTAAATTTCCCAATAAATTCAAATCAGCCTTCTTAAAGAGTATTAAAATCCATACTTTGTCCTTTCTCCTAATCCCCATAGAACTGAATAAAAAAATCCAAGTGAGACTTTCAGTACTGAACCAGACCTCTTTCACTTGTGTTTTAAAGAGTCTTGTCATTCAAACTAACAGTGTGGAAATTTGTACTGGAACGATAGCATAGAGAGCGTACCCTAACTGTAGTACATAGCATATCTGTATCACAGCCTGCATAGAATCATATGACATAGTATCACTGAATACACAGCTATTTATTATGTGTACTTGAAGAAATTACCTTCTGGTGATTTTTAAATACTTCTGTGTTATTAACTTTATCGCCTAGAATTCAGAAGTAATCTCTTCACTTTGGTTATAAACCAGGGTTACACAAAAAGAGAACCTGAAGGCAGGTAAGGATATGAACCTTATAAAATTCCTTAAAATACTATTTAAATAACTATCTTCCAAGGACTCATCCCTGGCCCTAAACAGAAGGGTCAACTTGTCCAGTAAACACGCTGGATACAAAGCATTCTCTCAACAGCTATTAAAGATGGTAAGACAACATCATAATTTGGAATTCACTCTAAGGCAGCTGAAGCTTAAAAAGCCTAGTATGAAGATTCACCAGCAGCATTTTATCTTCATAGTACATTTCCACACTGCACTGTCCTGTCATCCTGCTTATTTATTCAATTAGAATAAAGGCAGCACACATTCCACTCAGGTATGCATAATCTGTCACATCCTTCTTATCATTAATTCATCAACCAAGAGAAAAGGGTTTGAGTAGGTAAAGAAGTGCAATGAGGGGGAAAAAAGGTGGGAACAGAACACCAACCAGAAGAGAATGCACCTCAATCATCCCAGAGCTATAAACTAGTAAAGCTTCATAGTAGTGCAAGAAGCATGTGTAGGTAATATAGACCCATAAGTATCTGCACATTTTTGAACTCAATTCTACTATTTCAAACTAAATAATTTCAAATTAAAACAAAAATATTTCTGATTTGAAACCTTCCCAAGGGTGTATTCCATACTAAGATAAAACTGCTCTGTTTGAGAAGATTTAATAAAGACAAATATCCCCTTTCGTTGTGAGTTCATTAAACACGAGCTAATCACATATGATAATGGCTGAAGCTCCCCATTTTGCTATTAAGAAATATACAGAAGCAGTGCTTTTAATCCACACGTACTCTTTATCATTACATTCTTAGCAACTGCACAGACTTGGAAAATGCATTTTCTCTACCACACAGCTCTTACCTGCCACACCTGTAGGAAAGGCTACCAAGCGCTCCAATGGTGCCAGCCATTTGCTTGGAAGAACCATAACTGGTTCAGAATAATATTTCCAAATGAGAGAAATCATCAGGGCAGCCTAGAATGAAAGTTTTTGTTAGCTTGAATAACAAACATCGAAGTATATTTCCACCAGTGTTTTGAAGCAGTACATCTCACAGTCTAAATTAAAGAAAATAGCATTCTTATTATTTTACATTGTTCGGAAACAAATACTAAAGAATTTTAGGCTTGATACGACCTTAACTTTACACACAACAAGATCTAGCAATAAGTAGCTAAAAATTACCGCTTTATTTTGAGGCTGGTTCAAATCTAGCATAAATAAAAGTGGTAATAATACAAATTGTTACATTCTGATGACTGTTTTTAACCACAGTCCTTGTCTGCTAAGAATCCAACTAGCTTTCACATTACCCAAAACATAGTCTTAGGTTGAGCACTCTTCTTATGGGCGAAAAAAAATTATTTGGCATCAAGTCTGAGCAACAATCTGGTGCAGGAGGCACTGTGTGGAGACACGTGGCAGCTCTGTATGGAAATCTGCATCCACAGCAGAAGAACGTTTTATGTTTTCAGAAACACAAGCAAAATATATATATTACATATCAGAACTTTCCTGGGTCCACTGCCACGTATAGATGAAAAACAAACCAAAAAGAAACAGTAAGGAAGGAGGTAAGACAAACTCCTACCTTGTCATCTCAATACCAGAAAAACAAAGCTTACATGAAATTCAAAACTCATTTCATTCACAATAACCAGACCCTATCAGCTGCATCTCTCTACAACTAAGAAATTGTTCTGGTTCAGTGTGCATTGTGTCACTGGGCTGCCAAATACCTGTGCAACTAATCATCAGTCAATAAACACAAAAGAGATTCATCACACTGCTAAGGATTTAGTCCTCAAATTTGTATCCCTAATAGAAGATTTACTTACTTGCAAGATGTAGAATACAATATTTATAACCCACTTTATTTTGGCTAATTGGGCAGTTCGCGCTTTCACTGTTAAGAGAAAAATAATATTACTCTGCATTATTTATAACAGTCAGAAAAGTAGTGATCCATTAATATTATTAGTCTTCAAATCAGGGCACTAAACATCATACACCTGTCTAAAAATATCTCTTCGAGATAACTTATTGTGAAAGTAATGAACAGCTAGGTTGTGGAGTTTTACATTAATGGTACTGTGGAAAGTTGCAGAACTCTGATATCCTAGACAGAAAAGTCACATGTAATCAAGAATGCTGGTTCTGAAATGAGAACAGTCAACGCGGTTGCTAACTTAAGAATCTGTTTTAGATGAAGCATAACAGATGGTTTTCCCTTTCACAAATACGGAAAAGGATGGTTTCAGCAGTTGCACTTTTTGCCTGATTTCACTCAGAACGGGTTAAGACTATTCACAGCCAAGACTGATCACTCATTGAACGTTCCTGGTCAGGTTCAATATTCAAAATTCTCATGCTTATTTTCCTCCAGCAGTACCCCCAGCCCAACACAGAACAGCTCAGAGATGACAGGAAGCACATCTTCAAACACAGTAGCGGCCTACAGTTTTCTGAAGCAATATTGTTGTCTAGTTTAATTGAAATTAACTAATTAAGAATAATGCTAATGAGAACAATTCAAAACTGACAGTTGTAAAGACTGTCATTTCTCTAAACAAGTGCAGAAAAGTCTAATCATTCTGCACAGAGAAGGCACACAAAGCAGGTATTCTCCTGTCTTGTTAGGTTCAGTGAATGAGTTTGGACAGACAAGCAAAAGTCTAGTGCCAAATGTTTATGTGCGCTCTCTACCATGAGATGATGCATGTTCCTGACAGAGATAAAGCAGTAGTTTTATCATAAAACCCACTGCATATGGTCAAATGGGATTGCAAAAAGACAGTAAGGATCTCATCTAGTTACCTTCCACATTAACACTTCCCCACTAGCATCTTCTAGCACAACCACCAAATAGCTTCAATCCAGCAATTCATCCTTTCCCAATTAAGATATGCAGTCTTACTATATTACTTCTTTTGTTAAAGACAGAGAAGTTCATGAAGTTATTAAAGGCTGGATTCAGTAATAACCATCACTAAGAAAGAGTAAGTATATCATACAGAGGAAATAAATATTATACCCTACCATGAGTCTTAAGCTTGTCAGTCATTTTGTTAATCTTTCTTTCCAGACGGGCGTATCTAGCAAACTCATCCATCATACTAATGGTTGAGAGCTCTTGCTTCATATTCTGAATTTCACCTCTCATTTGGGATTCCTGCTCTGCATCCTTTTGTAACAACCTGGATATCTAAAAAATAAAGAAATAATATAGAGATAAGAAGAAAAAAATAATATAGAATTAAAAAGTTATAGAAAAAGAAGCAATTTCCTCAGAATTTGGCTGATTTTAGCACACATAAAGCAGCCTCCTGTGTACACACTCAAAGGCTCCCATTGCCAGGACACCATCCCCTTTCACCAAGGCACGAGGAAATCTTCATATTAACAAGATGTTCCAGAAGTGAAAAGATGCCATGTTCTCTTTACTAAGAAATAAACTTTCCTTCTTCCTCTCCTCATCATGAACTCTGTGGATCACAGATATCTGATACTTGCAGTAAGAACAGGGACACAGTCCTTCTCATCGCTGTTCCCTCCATCATCTTCAGCTCCTGGAGTCACACCAGACGCGGTAAGCTTTATTTACTTGAGCCCAGCTTCGCAACTCACCAACAAGACGTAGCTCAGAAACCGAGCATCACTCCTCTCTGGAGACTACCTAGTCTGAGCTCATAGAAACACAGCAAGCGCCGTACTGACCTCGAGCCGCGTTCCTTCCAGCACGGCATCTTACCCATGTCTCAAAAGCATTAAGATAATAGAGACGCGTTACCCCCGAGCAGCCCGGAGCCCTCCCCTCAGCTCCTGCCCGGCCCCGCGCTACTAAAGGCCACGAGAAGTAGCGGGACGCGGCGCTGACGTCACTCACAATAGAGGAGCAGGAGGGCAGCACGATCTTGAGCGCGTTGCAGAGGAAAACGGCGCTCAGCACCAACAGCCAGGCACCGCTCTCCGCCATGCTTCACGCACGCGCAGACAGGCGCGCGGAGGGAAAACGGAGACAGGTGCTGCCACGTGACGACGGCCCGCCAATCCGGAGCCGTTCTCCACGGGGCGGGGCCTCGCACCTAACCACCGCCCGCGCTTAGGTGCGAGGCCCCGCCCCGCCGCGAGGGGAGGTACGGCGCCGTCCCCGCCCCGCCGCTGCCCCGCGGGAGGCGGCGCTGCCGGCCGCCGCCGAGCGCGGGGCGCGTCGCCCCCTGCCCCGCCTCTCCTCCGCCAATCCGGCTGGATCCTGTTGCGGCGCCGCTGGCGCTGCTGGGATGGGGGGGGGCGGTTTCCCTGCGCAGCGCGGCGGGCGGGAGGGCGGCCGCAGCGCCTGGCGGTGAGGCACTCAGCGCGCAGCAGAAGCCGGGCGGGAGCCGCCGCGCGCTTCGCCATGCCGAAGAGAAAGGTGAAGCGCGGGGGAAACAGCGGAGACGGGGGACGCTGGGCGTGGGGGACGAGGAGAAAAGGGGAACGAGGGGAACTGCTGTCGCCGCCCGGCTGAAGTCGCCGGCAGGGCATCGCGCCGAAGACGGCCGGCGCCGAGCACCGCCGCTCTCTTCAGCGGCGTCGTCTGGAAGGTTCGGCGGGGCGCGACGGGCGCCCGGCCGAGGCTCGCGATCCGAAAGCGGCGGCGGAGAGAAGGGGCGGGCCGAGCGGCGCATCACGTGCTCCCAGCCGGCCCGCCTCCCTCTGCGCACCGCGCACGCGCCGTCTGATGCGCGCCGTTTGCATTGGCAGGTGGCCGCCGGTGGCGCGGAGGCTGCTGAGGAGGTACCGAAGAGGAGATCGGCGCGGCTGTCCGCCGTGAGTACCGGCCGGCACCGGCGGGGCGGGGGATGGTGTGTCTGCAGCTGAACCGAGCTCTGCTTCTGCTTTCTCTTCAGAAGCCTGCGCCTGACAAAGCGGAGCCCAAAGCCAAGGCGTTGGCGGCGAAGGTGAGAGCCTGGGGGCGATGGGGGAGAGGGGAGCAGGGGCTGTGTGGGCAGCATTGTTGTTTTTTTTTTTTTTAAAGAAACGAAGGTCTGTATCTGGTGGCAGGTCAGTGTGTGCAGTGTATGTGTTTTTGGCTTCTGTGTGGTTTCAAGCATTTGGGTCTTACTTGTCTCTTTTTTTCTTCAAGCATATGGCTTGGGATCATTTCAAAGACGGCAAGATAAGATGCTTTGCAGAGTTTTTGATATTTTCACTTTAATAATTCCTTAGCAGTGCTACACTCGCCTTCATTCCAGTGCTTTGAACATGAATGTGCTCTCATTCTCTGAGTTTTAAACCTAAGAACTTTGGTGAAGCTTTCTAATTTTATTTCAGCTCCAGTTCTCTGTTTTTTCCCCCCGAGTGTCTGCATGGTGCATCTCATTGACTAACATTTAGAAAATACCAGAAGTCTACATGCTGTGAAGTTGCTTGTCATCTGGATTAGTGATACTGAGTACTAACATTCATAACTTTTTTTGTGATTTTTCTTTCATTAGGTACAGTCTATTTTATCTCAGTGCACTGGGGAGGGGGGGTTAAAAATAAAAGATATTTTCTAAACATGGGAGAAAAGCATTTCTGATGTTTTGTCCACAGTGACAATGTAGGTGATGTTTCAGCATTTTTTCCCTTGTTTATTTTTCACACTGCACCCTCTACATGTCGTATTCCTTACTGCATGTTTGCATGCAGTGATGTAAAGCACTTAGAACTTCTGCTTAGTGATTGCAGAATTTCACAGAATTCTATTATTGTGAAGATAATAATTTGCATGTGCATTCGTATACAATAGGTAATGTATTTAAATGTGTATTAAAAAGTTGCTTGTGTATGGTAGCACAGTAACATGATGGTGATTTTTGGTGGTGGTGGTTTCTTGTTTGTTTTTGTGAGGATGAACACTTGGAGTGAAAATGAAGTATGGATACATGTAGCATGATGGTTTCTCGTAATAATCAGAAGTGCATATTTCTACTATACATAGAATAAACAAAAATGATTTTTTCTTCCTCAGTAGATTTTAGTTCAGAGACAGTAAATTAGGATATACAGGATATATAGTAGGATATACACTGACAAACAGATGTGGAATGCACACTATTTTTAATGAGATCAGATACATCTTAAGGTAGGTCATTATAGTAGTTGTCTGCTTAGAAGTATAAATGGATTACATTCTTGGCACAGATTGTATCTGCCAGAGGTGTTATAGTTTGTCTTTTATTGAAAACTTTTGTTAGGATCTGTAAATACCAGTGCTAATTTTGTCAAAAACTACTTCGACATCAATTAAGATTGACACAGGTGTTTTATAAGCATCTGGACCAGCTGGATCTCTGTAGTACTTGGTTGCTGTGTGGAATGTTTGGGAAGATATGTTAAATTTTTATGGTAAGATTGCTCTTAAGCGAATACTTTTCTCCAACCCATTTAACAACAGGGATGCCAGGTGCAGAAGACATGACTGAGATACTTGTAAAGGAGTGCTGAAAATGATACCTGCAATTGTTCATCCATTTAGGATAAGTTACTGAAATTCTCACCTGTCAATACAAAAGAAAAAAACGAGACTGAAGGGTTTGGTGTATACAAAGTGGAATGAGTTCACCGATGGATTTTGTACTTTATGTTAATGATTTTTAATATGTCACAAGAGATTAAACCACGTATGACAAATTGCTCTGACTCTCCACTGGAATTAATTACTATTGTTTTTTGTCTTTGATAGGTTTTTCAGTGGGTTTGCACCACTCTAAGCAGTGCTTTTAGTTACTGTATAAAAGAGTGATCCTAAATTCTGTGAGCATAACATATTTATAATATGTGCTATTCAGGGAAGTATATATGTATTAGCTCCTTAATAGTAGCTCTTGGTGTTTGCCAAGTCCATCTTGTTTTTGTTTAATTACTTTCAAAATTTATGGTATAGGTTATATGAATTCATTTCATTTAATTGTAGGATAAATCTGAGAACAAGAAAGCTCAATCAAAGGGGAAAAAGGGGCCTAAAGGAAAACAGACTGAAGAGACAAACCAAGAGCAGATAAAGGACAACTTGCCTGCAGAAAATGGAGAAACTAAAAGTGAGGAGGTAAAGTTGTATTCTTTGGTCTAAAACAGCTGGATAACTTACTGTAACTAGTATAGGCATACAACTGTTAGAGAAGCAGATAGTACTTAAACTAGAATCTATTTCTGTGCAAAGAAAACTGTTGGTTATTGAAACATTAGTAGATAAACCAGGGAAATTCTGGTTGCACTCAAAAGAGTTGCAGTGATGTTGTAACAGTCCTTGACATGAAAACAAATGGTGAAAATCTTACCCAAATCCCAGTACAGGATAACATCCTTTAGCAAGGAGCTGTTTTGCCTGCTGATAAGGCTCATAGAGGGAGAAGGGGAAAAGAAGTACAAGGATGACTAATAGTTGTTGAGAAATGGGCCAAATCAGCCTTGGTTGTAATACTCTGCTAAAATGACTCTATGGCTGAAGTTTTTTTGTACTAAATAAAAATATCCTTCACCTTGCTTTTTTTTTCTGGATGGTGGGCATCACTTTAGGACAAGATCTGTTGAGAGAGGCAGTGCCTCCTGTTTGATGAGCTGTTAACAATTGGATAAATCCAGCTTTCGTGTAGTAACATGCTTAGAATTACTCTCAAATTACTGCATTATTGGCTGCCTAGTTCATTTCAGTTAATCAGTTGAGTTTGGTCATGTAATCAGAGGATTTATTAATCTAAATATGATTTATTTTTCCTGCTTCCTTTTTTAAATAAAAAAATAATTTTTTTTTCATGTGCAAATGTATCTTCAACGAGAGAAAAGAGTATTTGGCCTTCAGGTACATAGTGGTTTTCTTGGGTAAGGAAGGTACAGAGTAATACTTGAGTGGGCAAGACAACTTTGGATTGACATTCTTTATTTGCAAACTTTATGCTTTTTGTGTCTAGGTTGTGCTGTAAATATGAATTCTTTGGTAGGCTTAAGTGTGGCTCTGTCAATGTATTAGCATTGCACAGTTTGGTTTTTCCATTTGTGTACATGATATTTTGGTAATGCCAGAGAAAGCTAAATTTGGCAATATTTTTCACCTGTAGTTTGTTTAATATACCAGTTAAAGGAGATATAAATCTAAGGAATGGATGATTATTTGGGGAACACATCTTCAGGTTGGTCACACCAGTCAAAATTGCTGAATTAATATAATGCTTCAGTATCTCATGAAAGGGCAGTGAATTCTTATGTTAAAAAGAGCATAATGTCTTTGGGGGGGGGGAAGCTTCTGTACTTCATCCTTCAAAAGGCTTCTCCTAGGTGGCAGTAAGGACAGTTAGCAGGTGTTAGGGTTTCTGATTTGGTACTGCTATAATTAACCAGAATATTCTGCTGGTACTTCTGTAAACCTTTAGGATAATGAAATTAAATGTTTACATTGAATTCCTCTTTTTAAACTATACTGCAAGAGGAAACAGTTTTCTAGTCCAGATGGACTCACAGCTGTAATCAGTTAAGTTTGTATGAACCTGTCCTGAAGTTGAGGTACAACATATAGAAGCTTGATATAAAAACAGTTTGGTTGTGCTACATTCAGTATTTTTTCAATGATGTAATTTTACTGTGGTACTGAGTGCCTATATATTACTTGCCTTAAAATATAGGGAGATTTGAAAGTGTTAACAGTGCTGCATTTAAATACATGAAGTACATCCATAATGTTTGTTTTAATCACAATATATGCAAGGATTTCAGCTTGTTAGGTAATTTTTTTATTTCAGCAAGGCAGTAATTATTGAAACATTTTTTTTCTTAAGAAATGTTTTAAATGTAGATTGAGTGGTACTGCATCAACATTCTGAAATCCATACTGCTGCACCCGAGCTGATAGAAGCCCTTTAGGGAAAACTTGAGTTTAGTAGAGCGTTATCCAAGAGAAATAAGCACACCGTAGTTCCAATTCATTAAGACTACAAAGCATGCTGTATAGAAGCAAGTCACGGTTGTTCTGTATGTCAGGTTGCCTAATGTGTGCG